CAATAGCAAAAGAGTCTTCAGTTAAAGCTCATTAACTTATAGCAAAAACGTTATTATAGTTGTAATTGTGGTAAATTTTAGAGAAACTCTAAGAAAAATCACTCAGGTAATAAATCGCAGGCATTCTGTATGGAATTATTTGATATAGAGTGTGAATTTGAGAAGAAAAGTACTGATATATACAGATTTTAGATGTCTTTAGTATTTCCTTTTTATATTAGATTACTTTTTGCTTGAACTAAAAATCGTAATATTAAAATATACGCCGAACTAATTTTGCGAGAGCGAAGCTCTACAAGGAACTACATTAAGCCCAAAGGAATTCCTCAGTTATATTCAATTATTATTTTGGGTGGAAAACTTCGCAGTACGAATTGTGAGTTTATTATAAATATATATGTATGTATGTATGCATATATTTTTTCTCTTTTTACTAGACGACCGTGGGGAGTTAGATTATTATTTTTTAAATACTTTTTAGTAAACTTTTTGTAATATCCAATTAATAATTATATTATTTTAAAAAAACATAAAATAGAAGTTAAAAAAATGGGAAAATAAATTAAACAGCTTTTTTAATTTTTTTTTAATTTTTTTTTTAATTTTATTTAATCAAGTTCCCATGAATATATTTAAGCCACATAACTTTGTCGAAATGAAGAAAGTGATTTAACATTCTTTAAAAAAATAATATAATCTTAAAATATTTGCAAATAATTCTTCGCAATAAAAGCAAATTTATTAACAAAAAAAAATTGGTCAAAACATTTACTAATTTCCCTTTTATATTGTGCTTAAAGACAAACAAAGATATTGCACTCCATTTATTAGCAAAAAAAATTTTAAATTAATTTTTTTTTACAAAAAAAAAAGAATGGAATTATTATTTCACCGTAAACATTTACATTACACTTTTTTGAAAAATATAATCTCTAAAGCAGTTGCGAGGTATTTAAAATTAATCAATTTTGAAATCTTAACACGTCCACACAGCCGGTGAGCACCATAACAAACTGATTTACCATAAAGTTCGCACATCAGATTAGCAACAGAGACGCAGCCAAAGCTCACTGAGCATGCGAATGAGTAAGCGCTGAGATCGCAAATGCTGCATACGATAGCACGATAGCCGGATAACTGTACCGTTGGTGTGAGTGAGAGTAAATTTGAGACGTGTTAATATACCTGCTTGCTGCTGTTAACTTATTTTCCCACATTTTACCAAAGATCCGGCCCCCAAAGTCAACTTGCGAGAGTGAGCTCTACACATGTGAGAGGCTCGTGCATAGCAGTAAAGTGACACATAGTGTTACGAACAAAAACAATTTCACTTTCATACTGAGCGCGAAAGTTAAAGGAAATCACATATGTACATATGATGTACATATATCTTCTCATTGTATATTTGTTTAAGCGCTGTCATAGACCCATACCTATTTTTGCCGGTAAGCGATCTGCTCGCTTATTTGCTTGTTCATAGCTCTAAAAGCGTAGCTGTTGTTGGCTGTGGTGGTATGAAGAATGGTCAGTTACGTTGTTGTTGTGTTCACTCTTACTGCTGCAAAATTACTTGTAATGTCTCGGTGAGCTGACTGACGTTGCCTGTTGGCTTGGCTCAGCTGGTTTTGGCTTTTTGCTCTGCTGCCAGCTGTCTTAGCCATCGAGTCGTCTTCTTCTTGAGACATGTTTCTTTTGCCTCGTTCTGTTTTGTTTTGCTTTAGTTGGAGCATCACAATATCCGTCAGTGGAAAAAAATGTTAGGCTTGTTGTGTGATTCAAATTTGTGTGTCTTTTTTTGTACTTTTGGTTTTTAGTTTTCTTTTTGTTTTGTGGTTTTTATTTCTTCTTTGTACATTTCATACACTTTTTCTTCTCTTTGTTGACAATATATTGTTCGTTCATTTTTTTCTTGTTTCTGTTTTTTTCTTGTTGTTGCATTTCTGTGCCTTGAGTTGTTGTGCTTTTAGCATTGTGCCGTAATATGTTGATTGTGCGGTAATTTTTAGTTGCAGTCTTGCTTACTTACTTCACTGTTTATTTGTTTTTTTATTGTTTTCTTCGGTTTGTGTCATTACTTTCGGTTTTCATACCATGAATGCGGTATATTTTTCCTTTCTGCGAAGCGGCGAATTTTTTCAGATGCTAACATATGCTGCAGTTCTCACTTTTTGAGTGATAATAATAAACTTTTCTTCAGTTTTTACTTATTTATTTAATTTAATATATTACAATGTTTATTTAAAAACATTTTTTTTTGTATCTGCCAATACACATACATATTATTCTTAACAACTAATGCACATTTTTCTTGAATAATCGAATAAAGGCGAATAAATTTAATTAAATTAAAATAAAATGCTATAAATTAAATTTTAAAAAAATAAAATAATATAAAATAATAAAGAAAAACAGAAATGCTAAAAATTAAATGAAATAAAATCAAAAGAAATCTAATAAAATAAAATAATGTAATCTAAAATAATATTGTAAAAATAAAATAGTATCAAACAAAATATATTAAATAAAAAAATTATAATAAAATTAAGTAATATTAACTATTGAAATAAAATAAAAGAAAGAAAAATAAAATAAAAAAATTTAGAACGAAATTAAAAAAATTAAATGAAATACAATAAAGTAAACTAAAATAGAATAAATTACTCGTATATGTAAAAAAAAAATTATCTAAATTAAATAAAAGAAGAAAATTAAATACGATATAATATAAATTCAAACAAAAATAAAATGAGCTAAATTGATTTAAATGGTATTCGAAAATAACAAAATACAACATAGTAATAATCTATAAAAAATAAATTATAATAACACAAAATTCATAACATTAAATGTTATAAAATAAAATCAAATGAAAAAAATGAAATAAACTATAACAATAAAAGATAAGTACTATTAGAATAAAATAATTGCAATTTTTTTTAAATTAATTCAAGGAATCGGTAGTTAATAAAAAAATAAAATTAAATTAAATTAAAACAAAAAAAAAGATATGATTTAATACTAAAGTAAAATAAAATAAAATAAACAAAATGAATCAAAGTATAATGTAAAAATAAAAGAAATAAAACAAAATAAAATAAATCAAACTAAAATAAAGTAACTTAAACGAAATTAAATTAAAATAAATAAAGTGAAACCAAATGTAATAAAAATAAATAAAATGTAATAAATTGAAATAAAAAAGTAAAAAAAAAATAAAACAAAATTAAACACAGTTAAATGTAAAAATGAAATTAAAGAAAATAAAAAAAATAAAATAAATCAAACTAAAATAAAGTAACTTAAATAAAATAAATAAAATGTAATAAAATAAAAAATAATAAATAGAATCTAATAAAATAAATTAAAATAAAACTAATAAAAAAAATATAGAAATAAAATTTAAAAAAATGAAACAAAGCCAAATGTAAAAATAATGGAAACGAAAATAAAATAAAGTTACATAAACAAAATATAATAAAATAAAATAAAATAAAATAAAACAAAATAAAATAATAAAATAGCAAAAAACAAGATTAACTGAAATAAATTAAATTATAAGAAATAAAATAAAATAAAATAACATAAACAAATCAAAATAATATACATGAGTATAAAAAAATAATATTAAATAAAAGAAAATTAAAAAACAAAATTAATAAAATGGAATAACATAACATCAAAAATAAAATAAAATTAAACAAATTAAAACAGAGCAAATTTTAAAAAGTTAATTAATATAATCTAAAATATAAAATGAAAAAAAAATTAAATAAATTAAAATAAAATACAACAAAATAAAATTATTAAAAACAAAAGAAATATGCAAAATAAATTAAAATAAACTAAGTTATAATAGAAAGAAAAAATTATTATAGGTTAAAATAAAATAGGAGAAACAGAAAACGAATAAAGTAATATAAATTTAAATAGAAATAATTAAATAAAAATTAAAAAGTTAAATAAAATAATATAAAATAAAACAAAATAAAACAAAGAATATTAAATATAATTAAATCAAATGTTTTTAATTTAATTGTATGGAATAAATATACCAAAAAAAAATTAAATGAAATAAAATAAAAATGAAAAGATAAAAGTAGATAAAATAAAAAATTAATTAAAAACTAAGAAAATATTTTAGCTAAAAAAATTAAAATAAGATAAGTGAAATAGAATAAATAAAATAAAATAACATAAACTAAAAAAATATAAAATAAGTTAAATTAAATTAAATGAATTTAAATAAAAAAATAAAATTAATTTATTAAATTTAAAGAATATAAAATAAAATATATTAAAATAAAGTAAAATAAAACAATGTAAAATAAAATAAAATTCAAACATTTAAAAAAAAATATACAAATTAAAATAGAAATAAATTAAAATTAATTTTAAACAAAATTTGAGTGTGAGGTGCGGGGCTCTTTCCGTCAAATCGAAACAAATAGGCTGATTTTCAATCCCTACATATCAATAATCTACATATACAATATTTTCAAAGATATTATTTTCTTTACGATTTTCGATTTTGCGATCTTCAAAAATAACCACCAGCCAACAAAGCTGTGCGGTGCCTATGACTACTAGTTGACTTAAAGAAAACTGCTTGCATACAGCTGCTGCTAACGAAGACGACAACTTGCTGCAGGGGTTGACTTAACTCGAAAGTAAAGGCAAAGCCACAGCAACAATAACAACATCAACACACAAGTAACAACAGTTACGATTATCTTTAGCGCATCGCCGGCGCCTTTGTGAACCTTCGACATTCGCTTGTCGCATCACCAAATAGCCTACGACGACGTCGGCAACGTCCAATGCACGTTATTCGACTGGCAAACACACACACACATGCACACACAAACACGCACATGCACATAGTAATGCACATCTGTGCGCATACATACAAACAGTGGATTTGCGCTTATGGCTGCTGTTGAAGATGCCGCTTGACGCGCTGTGCACTGTGAAGCGTCTGAAAATTTTTGTATAAATTGGTGAAGTCTCAGTGTTGCATCGTCAGTCCAGCATTTGATTTAGTTTAATAAACAACATCAATAGCAACAGAAAGTCAAACTAAAAGCACTCAAAAAATATATATACAGAACTTTCCATCCTTCTATCCCCACTATTCATTCACTTTAATTTTTTCACATAACCAAAAACAAACAAATCCAGTGTAAAAATCACTTAAATCACTCATACGCACCGTTGCACGGCAAATAAAAAAAAAAACGAATAAAGGATAACAACGAGCAAAAAGTGTTTGTGTGCAGTAAAGGATTAAAAGCAACAACAATCGTTCGTGATTCTCGATTGAAAGAGCGTGTTTATCGTTTCGTGTGTGTGTGTGTGCATTGTGTACTAGCCATGAAAGCCTTCATCTTATTATCCTGTGTAGCGCTGGCCGCAGCTAGGCCAGAAGCTGGTTATGCTTATAACAGGCCTGGCGGTGGTGGCGGCGCTGGCGGTGGATTTGGAGGCGGCTCCGGTGGTTTCGGCGGTGGTGGCGGCGGCCTAGGTGGCGGACTTGGCGGTGGTCTTGGTGGTGGCGGTGGACTTGGAGGTGGCGGTGGATTTGGTGGCGGCTCCGGCGGTGGTGGTGGTGGTTTTGGCGGCGGCGGTTTTGGTGGCGGCTCTGGCGGTGGTGGTGGCGGATTCGGTGGAGGTGCGTACAGTGGATAGAAAATGAAAGAAGAATCTTAAGTGGAAAAGAGGCGAGCGTGGTAAAGAGTTTGCATTTCAATTTGAAAGTGTAAAAAAAATACCTAAAGGTCTTGTAGGGTGAAAAATTGTTGAAAAAAAAAACTTTCGAAAAAATTTTAAGCTGAAAAAAAAAATTATAAAATGACAAGAAAAGTTATACAAAAATTGTGTGGCTCAAGAGTGTGTCCAAATTTTAAAATATTGTGAACAAATATTCAATTTTAATTATAATAGAGCATAAAAAATCGTTGAAAATGAATTTGAATAAGCATTTTTTTAAATTTTACTCCACAGAAATTATTAACTTACAATTTTGAATTTTTTTTTTGTCAAAAAATTTCAATACTTTTTAATTTTTGCTTACGAAATACCTTTTCACACTGAGCTGGATTTTTTTTTTTTACAAAATTCCTCTTTCTTTCAAAAAAATTGTAATACCTAATTAGAATCCTGTAAAACAAATAAGTTTCGGTTTCTTGAAAATATTATTTGCTTAAAAATTTAGTACGAGAATAGCACCGAAAATTGCTCTAGCTCAAGCTTTTTGTGAAAACAAATAAAATTTTTTTTTAATTTATTTTTTTATATAATTTTAATATTTTTATTAAAATATTTTTTTATCTAGAGCCCTATACCAAACATTATCCAAAAATTCAAAAATTTCAAAAATCTATAAATTTAAAAAAAAATAAAGTTTAGATCTACTCGTTTTAAAATGCGCGATAAAAAATTAAAATTATATATAAATTGAGTTACCAACACACAGCCTTTCCATTTTTTGTCTCACGAAGAGCACATTTTTAATAACTCATAATATCCTTTTTACTTTGTACACCAGGCGGCCTTGGCGGTTTCGGAGGCGGTGGTGGCGGCGGCGGTGGTGGTGGCACCACTTTGGTACAAAAACACATTTACGTACATGTTCCACCACCAGAGCAGGAGGAAGTGCGTCCACGTCCCAACATTCCAATTGGCCAGTCACAGAAACACTACAAGATCATCTTCATTAAGGCACCATCTCCACCCAGTTACCAGGCACCAGTCATACCACTCCAACCACAAAACGAAGAAAAGACACTCGTCTATGTGTTGGTTAAGAAACCAGAAGATCAACAGGATATTGTCATACCCACGCCAGCGCCCACACAACCCTCCAAGCCCGAGGTCTACTTCATCAAGTACAAGACCCAAAAGGAAGGCGGCGGCGGCGGTGGCGGCGGTGGTGGCGGTCTTGGTGGAATTGGTCTTGGAGGCGGCGGCGGCGGTCTTGGTGGTGGACTTGGCGGAGGACTGGGTGGTGGACTTGGCGGTGGTTTGGGTGGTGGAATCGGCGGTGGCGGTCTTGGCGGCGGTATTGGTGGCGGTGATGGCGGCTACTCCGGCGGTGGCGGCGGCGGTGGTGGCGGTGATATCTCTGCACCATCTTCCAACTACGGACCACCCGGTAAATCAGGACCATACTAAGCGAAAGAGTGAGGTGAAAATTGGCGTGCAGCAAAAAAGCAAAGTGGTGTAAGAAATCGCTCGAAATGAAGGAAAGTAAAAGTAAATATTGCGTCAAAATTCGCGTACAATTCGTCACGAAATGGTGCTGGAGAAGATACACAAGCACGCAATGAAATTAGCTTGAGCTGCCGGCTAGTCTTGTTAAGTCATAACATATGACTTACCATATGTTATGTTATGATTTGTTATTATTATTTTTTTTACACACTTTTGGTTTCAATAGTGAAATTCTACTTGACACATAGACAACTTGATGACCGACGAGACCAATGTATAAGCTAAACAAAGAAACGGAAATTTAAACAAAATGAAAATTACAAAAAAAAAAAAAAAAAAAAATATGCCGAAAATTGCTGTGAATAAGACGACAGGACAGCGTCTAAACTGTCTGAAATAAAAGAGACCAGGATTTTGACACAGTCAGCACAATAGCAGTTATTCAATACCAACGAGAAATAGGGCCAGCTCCAAGCTGCGCTCAAACCCATCTCTGTTATGTGCGCGAAATGCCAAATATCTAACGGTCAACCGACACCTTGCCCATCATCCACATAACCAAGCAGCCATGATGTCATACTCATATCTACGCTCGATAATCTACCGTTCTACATATCTCCAACCCACGCAAGTCACTCATCCACTCACTCACAGACTCTCTCTCTGTGCCTCTATCTCTCTCTCTCTCTCTCTCTCAAAAACGCGCCGTACTCTATACATTAGTGCTAGTATCTTGTTCTATAAGAATATCACTAATTGTGCGTGTTATCTTTTGTATATAAGCCATTTTCCCTGTATATCTCTACAAATGTGTATTGATCTTTTTGTTGTAAATGCGAATATATTATATTATATATAAAATTAAAATTAAAATAATAAATAATTTGCTAGTTTTAAGTGCGATGCGTTGATTAAGATAAATAATAACCCTCATTAGACCCACTTAAAGCGCTGTCAATATATATATAGACACTTGTACTTATGTATGTATGTCATATATAAAGATATATATGATAATATTGACAGCCGCAAGCCCATAATAATTATTATTAACTTGCGAAATATGTATTAATTTTTAAGTATTTGTATTATGCGCAGTATAAAAAACAACGGTGACAAAATTTAAAAAAAAAAATCTTGTATAATCTTTCAATATAACTGAGGTGGGGATTTTCACTAAGCATATTTTGTAGTTATAAAGCAACTGCTGTGGGAATGAGCCAAAAAAAAAAACACGTACCTAAATTGCTGAACATAATTCGTTGGGCTTTCATGCAGCGTGTCGTCTGATCAATAAAGTTTTGTTCCCAAAAAAAATCTACCAAGGAATAAGTAAGGCATAATCAAGTGAGAAATAAAAAAAAGGATTATAAGGATACATAGCGGAATTTCATAGATTGTCCCTAACTCTTTTGTGTTCATCACTTTTTCATTGTTCATATTAAAAAAAAATTCAAAACTTTCAGACAGTTTCCTTCTGCAGAAAGTCTTTTCTTCCTTATGTAATCGGTGGTTAAAAGCACTATAGGCTTTGGGAAATAGGATAATTAGTTCATGCTTTATCGTTACTACATATTTATACTTAATTCTACAATACATAGATGACCCTTTGACCCTCACCCCACCGTGTAAAGTAAAAGTTCTGGTTTAGAAGGTCAAAAAACTAATTTTTTGAAACTTATCTCATTCGATTAGAAATATACTCAGAAATATTTCCACGAAATTTCGTTATTAAAATCTCATGTTTGCTTGCAGCAGCTGTTGAAATCAGTCTAACTCAGTTCCCTATGCGATTTTTTTTACGGCTTCAAGCGAGTCGAAACGGCTTCCACCGAGTGGTAACTTGAGTTTTGGAAACCAAAAAAAGTAGTCGAACTCGGTGAATACGGTGGTTGATCGAGGGTATTGAAAATCTATCTGATCTTAAAATCGTTCCCAAATTGTGGCCCACAACTTTATGATGAGCCAAACCGCGAATATAAAATAAAGAATTCCTGAAACTTCTGGAATTAATGTTTCGTCACCTGCCGTAACACGACTGAATGACTATTCAAAAACGCCGTTGACTTTATTTAACGATTCCTGTGCAACTCATTTTCGTCGCTATGTTTATACAAAGTTGATTAATTTCGAAACGATTTTGCTACTTTCATAATCTTCATGGCCTTCTTGGAACCATTTATGCCAATCGTGAACTCATGCTATATTCATAGCAGGCTCAACCGCAGAACATGCAAAAAACAATTATCCACGTGCGTATCAATCCGTAACCGGTAGGACCCCCGCTAAGTGCAAAGAATTCACAATTTCTGTTGGTTAATTGATTGCCTCATCTGATGATGATGTCTATTGACTCATTATAAGCCTTCAAAATTGGACAAAACAGTGTGGTTTAGATCGTAGATTTCTTAGCTTGTTGCATGCTCTTTGCAGAAGACAGAAGCCTTACTCAGTCCTATAATTATTTTGGATATTTGCGAATACTCGGTAAATCGATTCCCCTTTTGACGCCACTAAACCACAACAGCTATCTGGTAATGTAATCAGTCTGGTAATGTAATCTTTACAAAGGAACGTTTGATTTTTATATATACGAATTGAATGAGTGGGCCACCTCTTTGCTGCTCTTCCAAAAATTTTAACGATTCTACCGAATAGGTCATTCCTCAGTAAGATCCAATGAACCCGCCGGATTATAAACTTCATCAAGCGGTTTCACGATGAGTATGGTGTGGCTTTTCAACAATAAATATTAGGTTTACCCAGCCGAAGATGCGACAGTGTTGTTTATTGATGTAGCAATCGAAATGGAAATGGGCTCCTTCAGTCAATATGATTTTTTCATGAAGTTGGATCGGATCATTTTCATGCATTTCAAGAACCCGAACAGCCTAGACACGACGTTAGTGATTATCTACAAGCTTGAGTTCTTGTGTTAACTGAACCTTTTAATCCTTTAAATTCAAGTATTGATACAATTTACGTTTTACGAAGTTTGTTGAAGTTGAAGAACCAATTTCAAAGAACGACAAGAAAGGGACAAATCTGGCGTTTCTTCAGCATTTTGGGCTACAGCAGCAATATTCTTAGTTGTTCTTAAATGGTGTGCATTTTTACATCAATTTCTATATTGCGGTCCGGCAAGGTGCTTCACGACGACCGAAAGATGTTTCAGTTTCATGAACCGTCTCTGTTAGTTTCTCACTGATTTTATTGTAAATTTCAATATTTCGTGCATCGTTCCAATTTTATTATTGGCGTAGTTTTTAATTTTGAATAAAAAAAAAACAGCGACATCTACCGGGAAAGAAGTCTATCCAAAATAAAACCTCTTATTGGATAACTCTATAGATAAGTAGTTTACATCACTTATGATCAATAATTTTGTTTTTACGAAAGTGTAAGCGCTGCAAATTCTACTCAAACTCATTTTTTTATTTCATTTATTCTTATTTCTTGACTCACCCCTTCTTTGCATTATCATCTATTTTGTCTGCCACACCAAAAACTTATAAAAACATTTCCAACTCACCTACCAACCTCAATGGCACTTAACGTCCATAGAAATATCCCAGAAATTGGAAAAGTCTCAAACAAAGTTATGAAAAGCCTTACAACGCCACGCCGAAAGTGAAGGTGGGAGGAGTGGAAGTACTTATATAATGCGCTTCTTTTCAAAGTGCTTGCCGAGCAATGAAAGTGAATATAAAGCGCAGCGCTAAGGAAAGAGGTAGAGGAAGAAGTCCCTTTATGCACTGCCCTGTTTGTGTATTTGAAAGTGTGAAAAAGAAATGTAAGAAAAAATATATAATTTATGGACTTTAAAGAAAATTGGCCAGGTAGTACACACACTTGTACATATTTGTGCTATAAAAAGTTGCCGACTAGCGGTTTTCACAGTGAATAGATGTGGAAAATTTGTTGTGAATTTGAAAAAAAAACGATTCTAAATTTTTATTTCCACTAACAACTTGCATTATACTTGAGTTTATATAAAACTTGGTCCTTCACATTTTCGTAGGTGCATTTCCGCGTATGAGCAGGTGCGTGTGTGTGGAGCAAATAGCAAAAACACAGGAATGTGCCATAAAAATGCAAAATATTTTTAGTCACTTAGGAACTGCATTTAAGTAAAATAAATATATTTCTTTTACCCAAGCCAATATATTTACCTAATCGTGTATGAAAGAAATATTTATTTTCTTCTTACTTTTAATCGTTAATCGAAATATTAGTGGTCAAGAAAAGAGTTCGTTGCTCAATTTAAGTTAAATATGCGCAGTTTTGTTCGTAAGCTTGTAGCCAACTTCATTATACCCCTCTTGTAGAAGGCAGCGTCCCCATTGGCAAAAAACTCGGGAAGCCAATTTTCACAGGCCTCTCTTGAGGCCAACTTTGCACTATTAAGCGCGTTCTCCATGGACAGGAAAAGATAGTAATCACTTGGTGCCAGGTCCGGACTATAAGGTGTTTGCATTAGGACCTCTTATCCGAGCTCCTGGAGCTTCTGGCGCTTCACCGAAGATGGCCTCTTCTGGATGAGTGCTGCCTTCAAGTGGGCCATTTGTTGGCAGTAGAGGGCATAATTGAGCGTTTGGCCATAGGAGAGCAGCTCGTAGTAGATGAATCCTTGCCAATCCCACCAAACACATAGCAATACCTTCCTGGCCATCAACGCGGTCTTGTCCACCGTCTGGGCCGCTTCCCCGAGCTTTGACCACCACCGTTTGCGCTCGATGTTGTCGTAAGTGACCTATTTTTCATCGCCAGCCACAATCCGCTTCAAAAATGGGTCGATTTTGATGCGATTCAGCAGCAATGCGCAGATGGAAATTCGGTCCATAATGTTTTTTACGTTAGTTCGTGTGGCACCCTAACATCGAGCTTCTCTTTGAATCCAAGGTTATGCAACTGGTTCTAAACGGTTTTCTGGCCGATCTTTAGTTCCTCAGCCATTAAATAAGTGCTCACGTGGCGGTCTGTTTCCACTGTTTCCATAATTTTATCACTATTTTCGATGACAGGCCTCCCGACGCATGGTGCATCGTTCAAAATTGTAAAGAAATAGGGACTTTTCCCTTTGCTGCTGTCCATCTTTGACGGTCGATCACAACGTGCTAAGTCAATCAATCGAAAAACTGTCGAAGACAAGCTTTTAGCGCAAATAAACACGTATTCAGCGCCATATAGTTTGACATGATGCGACACGTACCAGAGTTAGATAAAAACCGAACGGACTTTTTACTTAGCCTAATACATATTTTATTTTTTCAAATCTAATGAATTTGTCATTTAAAAGAATTTTGTTTTATTTTTGGCTTGAACTTGGTAATTTCTACCTTTTCTTCACAAATAAAGTGCATTATTCACCACTATATGAAATGAAACTTTACTACAGATGATGCTACAACCTAGTTGTCACCGAGTCTTTAGCAGAGAGGAAAATTCGGGGTTCAAAATCCCGCAATGAGAGAAAAAGATATAAAACCACCAACTTTATTTGCGAATTAGAAAGTTTTTTGTAAAGAGTGAAGAAAATCTGTAGAGGTTAGGTTAGGTTCGGTTAGGTTAGGTTAGGTTAGGTTAGGTTAGGTTCGGCTAGGTTAGGTTAGGTTAGGTTCGGTTAGGTTAGGTTAGGTTAGGATAGGTTATGCTGAAGTTGTTGCCGGGCATAAGCACATTGATACCTTTTAGGATCGTAATGACCGCCACCCGCTAGTCAAACCAATGTGTGGAGTTAACAAAACTGCGCAATATACGTACCTTTGCCACCGCTATTCCCTTCAAGTATTTTAAAATTGCCCTCCATCGGTAGCTCAAACTACTTCTCTAAAGAGCAGGATATTCACAATGTAAGTGTTCCCACTTCTCTGCAACTCTCTGCGTGCTTGGCGAATTGAAGACGTAATGTAAAAAACCCATAACTCTAGATTCGCTCTTCTTGTTTAACTTAAATAGGTCACGTAACCTTGTTTTGATCCCCAATTCGCTTCGTTGCTTAAGACACATTGCAGCCATTGGGACTATTCCATGTTAAGTTTGCAGCTCATATGAATACCTATGTTATAGTGTACTAGCTCTTTCTTGCACATTCACCTGCCACCTTATTACCCGATAAGTGATTGAGTCCAGGCA